ACATACTTTGGACGTGTTGTCAGGAGAGATCAGTCCCAGGAGAATTACATCATGCTTGGTAACGTACAGGGTCAGCAAAAAAGAAGAAGACCCTCAATGAGGTGGACTGACACAGTGACTTCAACATTAGGCTCAAGCATAACAACGATTGTGAGGATGGCGCAGGACAGGGCAGGGTTTCATTCTGTTGTACACAGGGTCGCTAAGAGTCGGAACTGACTCGACGGCACCTAACAACAACAGCAACGTATATTATTTTTTTTTATTTTTTATTTTTCTCTGCACAGTTTGAGAGTTAGCTGCAGATGTGATGCCCCTTTAGCCCAAAACACACGTGCATTTTCTGAAACCAGGACGTTCCCTTATATTGAGAAAAGATAGTAGTAGTAGCACCACCAGAACCTGTCTAACTTCATGGGGGATGAGAATCACCATCAGCACAAAGCTGATTCCCATGAGGTGGAGGTCAGACAATCCTCCACTCTCCAACCTTTTTACCTATTCTGACACCAGCCATCCCTCCCCCGGCACTCTCTATTTATCTTCTGGGTTCAGTAATATGTTGCAATGGTCACACAGAGCTCACAGACCATACTTAAAATTAAGTGGTTTATTACAGAACAGGGTACAACTCAGGATCAGGATCCGGGTCAGCAGCAGGAAGCATGCAGGCAAAGTCTCCCTTCTTCAGTGCAAGACAGTTCTCTCGGCTCCTTTCAGCCCCCGAGGACAGGCTCCTCTCGGGGCCCCCCAGGACAGGCGACAGATATAACCAGTGTCATAATGCTTTTAGGAGGTTTTTTGCATCCTCTCTTCCTCTGCTTCTTCTTCTCTCTTTTGCTTCTTCCTACTGCTTCTCTTCCTGCTTCTTTCTGTCTGAAAAACTTCTGTGGGGTTGGTTGCTTATATACACAACCCCTTGTCAATTTCAAGGTATGACCGGGGCCATGAACTGACCAATCTCCTCTCAGTAGGCCACAGACACTCCATTTCCATAGTAGGCTACAACTCGCCTCATTTGCATACTTTGTTGACCAGTCCCTACAAGGTGCGGGCTGCAGCCCAGAGCCAGACAAAAAGTATCAAACCATGTTGTTTACAGCTTACCCAGGAAATGTCAATCAACCTGGATAAAAGTAGCAAACCCTCCGGGGTAGAAAACTAGGGCAAAGGTAACTGCTTAGGCTTAGGGGAAAATGCTCTCAAGATTTTTTTAAAAAATCCAAGGCAAAAGGCCACATAAAGGAACTCCTTTCACCACATATGACAGAGTGCAATCACACCAATGTCCATGTCCTGATTTTACTAATGCTGCTATCTAAGCTATAGACCTCATTCCTCATTCAGGCTTTGCAAATCCTCTCAGTAACATCGTTTATAAAAAAAGAAATTCCTGGGCCATACATTGGAGCCCTGGTGGCTCAGTGGTTAAGAGCTCAGCTGCTAAACAAAAGGTCAGCAGTTCGTATCCACCAGCTGCTCTTGGAAACCCTATGGGGCAGTTTTACTCTGTCCTAAACTGTTGCCATGTGTCAGAATCTACTTGATGGTAACAACATCCACAACATCCTTTCTTCATTGAATTGCTTTTGTATCTTTGTCAAAAATCAATTGGACATATTTGTGGAAGTCTATTTCTGGGTTCCCTATCAGATCTTATTTTTTTTAATTACAAAATTGGACTCCCATCAGTCCAGAACTATTTCTAAACCTGGAGCCCTGGTGGCAAAGTGGTTGAGAGCTTGGCTGCTAACCAAAAGGTTGGGAGTTCGAATCCACCAGCTGCTCTTCGGAAACTCTACGGGGCAGTTCTACTCTGTCCTGCAGGGTGGCTATGAGTTGGAATCGACTCAACGGCAATGGGTTATGGGGACCATGCATTGCATTCCGTTGCCACATCTCTGTGGAGTCTGTTCATCTGGAAGTTGATAATCTGAGGAGGAGAGGCCAGTTCCTGTGTGGACCCTGCCTGGCTTTGGGGACAGCTGACGTGCCTTCAGGACTAGACCTGGGAAATGCATGTGGGACTCTGTCCTCAGCCACTGTGTCAGGAGACACGCAGCATCTTTGGTGTCCCCACTGGGGAGGCTGACTTAGATCACCTGGTGGGGTGGGTCTGCCCATGACCCCTCTGTAAAGGTGCTAGTCCTCCCGTTGTGACTAGCATGTATCTTGTGGGAAGACGCTTGGAAAAAAGCCAAAAAAACAAATCTATTGCCGTGGGGTCGATTCTGACTCATGGTGACCCTATAGGACAGAGTAGAACTGCCCCATAGGGTTTCCAAGGCTGGAATCTTTACAGAAGCAGACTGCCACATCTCTCTCCCATGGAGCAGCTGGTGGTTTCAAACTGCCAGCCTTTGGGTTAGCAGCCGAGTGCTTTAACCACTGCACCACTTGGGCTCCTTAGATGCTTGGAGACTCTGTAAATATCCCATTCCTCATCAAAGCCAGCTTTTACCAGGCACCGATGGTTCTTGACTGGTGATGCTGCTGTGTGCTGACTCCCTCTTCCCCCGGCCGCATCTGCTGACCAGCTGTCTCCTCTCCCCATGCCTCCTGCCTTTACATTGCTGCAGGCCCATCCAGTGGCAGCTTATTCTCTGGGCTGTAGCCCACTGCCATCACAATTGATTTTTTTGGTCTACAGTGTCCCCAGTTTGGCCCTCCGACACGTCCACCTCGCTCTGAGCACGTAGTTAGACGCTCCGGGTACATCCTGCACTTTCCTGCCCCACCCCAGGGTCAGACATTTCTCCAGGGAGCCCTGGTTTCTTCACTGAGCAGAGATGGTGTTTGGAAACTGAGACTGGGGCACCGTCTGCTTCTTTCCATTTGGCAGGCAACTCTGAGCCCCTGCCTGCTGGCTCCGGGCTGGGCCCGGGGACGTGTGTCTTCTCCTCTTGTGTGAAGAGCCCCACTCCTGTGGGATTAGGACCACCCTGCTCCAGTGAGACCTCATGTGAACCTCACTGGTAACATCTGCAAAGGCTCTATTTCCAGACAAGATCACCTTCATGGGTACAGGGGTTAGGACTTTCACATGTCTGCTGTTGGCCAAGATTGCAAATTGTGCAGGGACATGAGGAGACGGTGGAGCTGGTCAAGGACCCGGGAGTGGGGGGTGATAGAGGACTGAGCTGCCATCAGGTTCAAGTCTCAGCTTGGCCACACAAAGCCCACGAGACCTGAGCCAGGGCCTCTGCCCTACGGACCCCTCCTTGCCCTGACCCCTGAGATGCCCACTGGCTCTGGTATTTGAGGGCATCTCATGAGTCCTCAGCCAGGCCATGAGCCCCACACGACACCCACGCAGGCTTCTCAGGGCACCCAGTGGGAGAGGGGTGCAGCCAGACCAGAACACAGTGCTGTCCCTCCAGACCCACAGAATAACAGGCCAAAGACATCTGTGTCCTCACCCTCGGAGACTGTGCGAATGTGACCTTCCATGCAAAAGGGTGCCTGCAGGCGTGGTCAAGTGAAGGACTTTGAGATGGGAGATGATTCTGGACTATCCAGATGGGCCCAATGTCATCACAAGGGTCTTTATAAGAGAGAGGCAGGAGGGTGAGAGAGAGAGAGAAGATATAAGGATGGAAGCAGAGGGCAGACAGGAGGATGATACGCTGCTGGCCTTGAAGTTGGAGGAGGGGGCCATGAGCCAAAGAATGCGGGCAGCCTCTGGAGCTGGAAAAGATAAGGACACAGATTCTCCCTCTGGAGCCTCCACAAGGAAACAGCCCTGCCCACACCTGTAGTTCAGAGACAATTGTGTGGCTCTTCTGCCTCTCAAACGATATGGTTGTTGGTTGCCATTGAGTCAGCTCTGACTCATGGAAACTCGGTCCTGCGCCATCTTCACCATCATTGGTGTGTTTGAGCCCATTGTTGTGGCTCTCGTGTCAGAACATCTCATGGAGGGTTCCCTCATCTGCCCTGACCTTCCGCTTTACAAGCCATGGTGTCCTTTTCAATCGATTGGTCTTTCTGGATGACGTGTCCAAAATAAGTGAGCAGAGGTTTCACCATCCTGGCTTCTAAGGAGCATTCTTGTATTATTCTAAGACTGATATGTTCCTTCTAGAAGTCTATGGCATATTCAATATTCTTCACCCACACCACAGTTTGAACCCGTCAATTCTTCTGTCTTCTTTTTATTATTGTCCAGCTTTTGCATGGGTATGAGGTGATTGAAAAGACCATGGCTTAGGTCAGGTGCATCTTAGTCTTCAAAGTGACATCTTTGCTTTTTAGAACTTTAAAGTGGTCTTTTGCAACAGATTTGCACAATGTAATATGTAGTTTGAGTTCTTGACTGCTGCTTCCACGGATGTTGATTGTTGATCCAAGTAGAATGAAATTGTTGACAACTTCAATTTCTTCTCCATCCCAAGACACAGGATAATACAGTTGTGTTGCTTCGAGCCACTGCATCTATGGTGAACTCTTACAGGCAGCCATGTAAAAGCTGGTGTTGTGGATTGAACTGTGTCCCCCAAAAATATGTGCTGTAAATCCTAGCCTCTATGCCTGTGGTTATAATCCCATTTGGGAATGGGTGGGCTTTGTTATGTTAATAAGGCAGGATTAGTGTAGGGTGTGTTTGGAGTCAATATCTTTTGAGATATAAAAGGGATTAAACAAGCAAGTGAGTGAGCAGAGATGGAGGAAGAGAGATGCCAAGCCACGTGAAGATTGCCCAGGAGCAGAAGTTGAAAAGAGACAAGGACCTTCCTCCAGAGCCAACAGAGAGAGAGCATTCCCCTAGAACCAGCTCCCTGAATTCGGATTTCTAGCCTCCTAAACTGTGAGAAAATACATTTCTGTGTGTTAAAGCCACCCACTTGTGGTATTTCTGTTACAGCAGCAATAGATAACTAAGGTAGTTTGTAAGTGTATGTGCACAACTTTTCCAGAAAGATCTGGGGGTTCAGTGCTTTCATTGCAGATATTTGCTGTTCTCACCTGAATCACCTCTCTCCCAACCTGCTGTGTTGCAGATACAGGGGCTGCTCTCCGACTTGGCAGCATAAGGCCCACTGCAGGGACCCCTCTCGGCCAGATGGTAGCGTACCCCACAGGTAGGTCATCCTGGGTCGTCTATGCTGCACGTGGAGTTAAATCATAGGGTGCAAGGCCCTTGACGCCTCCCTCCCCTCCAGTCCTCCACCGTCCTATGGACTGTGGGTTAAGGATTGTCTGACCCAGGGGGTCCCACCTTAAAATCCCCATGGGGGTGGGGAGGGGCTTGTCAAATGCAGATGTCCAGGTCCAAGAGTGTGTTTCTACCTGGGGCCTGAAGGTAGGGTCAGCCTGCAGGGGCTGTGTGGCTCGGACAAGGGGACGGCCTTGGAGGCCCCCTTGAGAGGAAGGGAGACCCACGAGAGACACCCTGGGGAGATGCTCCCAGGAGGGGCATGGGCAGACCAGCAGAAAGTCTCCACTGAATTTGGGGGTGCACAAGGAGGGAGGGGATCTCAGCAGCAGTGTGCAGGGCAGGCTGCCCAGTGGAGGGGGCCTGTGAGTAGCTCCAAGAGTGGGCAGGATTTCTAGGGGGGAGGGTGGGGGACACAGTCCCCAGGCTGAGGGCAAGGCAAGCAGAGGTGGGCCCAGAAGAAGCTCTTTACTCGAGACCCTGCTCCCCACTCCTGGCCGTGGGGGGCTCAGGGACCTCGACATTGGGGTTTCCCTCTTCCCTGTCCTCGCGCTTCACTGCAGGGGTCAGCGAGACTGTGGCCCCAGCTCCAGGGCCGGGCCTCTTGCATCCTAGCACTGGGATGACAGGACGTGTTGATCAATGGGTGGGAGGAGTATTTTGTGTGTTACAACGCAGAGCCTCTGGCCAGAGCAAGAGCCAGGAGCTGATACCTCCTAAAATCTCCTAGAACCCTGTGTCGGGAGCGAGCGCGCCCTGCCCCAGAGGGGCCCATTCAGCAGGCCACGGGCCCTTCCACAGAGGGCAGGGCCTCTAGCTAGAAAGTTGTAAGGCAGGGGCTGGATGCTGTGCTCAAGGTTTGGGGAATTGTCCCCCTCCCCATTTCCCCTCCTCCTCCTTCCCCTCTTCCGTTCTACGTCTTCCCTCCTCTCTCTCTCCCTCTCCTTCCCTTCCTTCTCCCCCTTCCCCTAAACCGCCTTCTGCCCTTCCCCGCTTCTTTTTCTCCCCTCCCCTCTCCCTTTTCTGCCCTCCCCTCTTCTCTCTCTCTTTTACCTCTCCCCCTCCCTTCCTCCCCTCTCCCCTGTCCCGTCTTCCTCCTCATCTGCCTCCTTTCTTACCCATTCCTCCTCTCCCTTTCTCTCCCCCTTTCCCTCCCCCTCTCCCCCTCCCCCTCCCCCTCCTCCTGTCTCCCTCTCCCTTCCCCTCCTTCTCTTCCTCCCCCCTCTTCACTGGGGCAGCTGAGGTCCAGGCCGAGACCACCACTGCAGGAGACCTGGCGGTGGAAGTCTTGAGCTCAGGAAGAGTAAGGCTCATTTTCCTGACATTCCCAGTCTGGGATGGAGAGGGAAGGAAACAGCCGGGGTTGCTGCTCCCGGGGCCTGCGTGCTGGCAGGGACGCACAGGGAAAGCACAGCCTCCGAGAGTGATGGGAAGACGTAGGTGCCTTGTCCTATGTCCTCACATGGCCGTCTCCCCCATGTCTCTATGTCCTCTCTTCTTGTAAGGACGCCAGTCACTCCAGCATGACCTCATCTTAACTTGTTAACTTCTGCAAAGACCCTGTTTGCTAACAAGTTCACGTGCACAGGTGCCAGGATCGGGACTTCAACACGTCCTCTAGGGAGACACAGTTCAGCCCCCCAGACAGCCGGTTGGGTTTGCTGGTGGGCTGATGTGCTGGGCGAGTGAGAGGCAGACTTGACCTGGAGGGGAGGGGCTGGTGAAAAGTGGGGGCCCTTTCAAACCCTGGGAGGAACACGTTTGGAGTGTGGGAGAGAATGGAGAGTTCTGCAGTGATGCCCATGGGGTGTGAGCAGGCAGCTGGATGCCCAGGTTTGGAGCTCAGGGAGGCAGAGAGAGGCCGGGGGTAGAAGTGATGGTGACCAGGGACCATCTGCCGAACAGTTAGCCTTTGCCAGCCTGTTCCGGGGCGTAGCGTGACCCTCTTCTCCTGTTGCTTCACAGGATAGGTGGGCTCAGGACAGGTGTGCCCAGGACAGGTGAGTCCAGGACAGGTGGGCTCAGGATAGGTGGGCTCAGGACAGGTGAGTCCAGGATGGGTGGGCTCAGTATAGGTGGGCTCAGGACAGGTTTTAGGACAGGTGAACTCGGGACAAGCAGGTTTAGATCAGGATAGGTGAGCTCAAGACAGGTGGGCTCAGGACAGGAGTGTTTGGAACAGGCGGGTTCAGAACAGGTGGACTCAGGACAGGAGTGTTTGGAACAGGCGGGTTCAGAACAGGTGGACTCAGGACAAGTGGGCTCAGAACAGGTGGATTTAGGACAGGTGGGCTCAGGACAAGTGGGTTCAGGACTGGGGAACTCAATGCAGTGTTCAAGACAGGCAGGCTCAGGACAGGCAAGTCCAGGATAAGTGGGTTCAGGACAGGTGGACTCAGGACAAGCAGGTTTAGGTCAGTGGGCTCAGGACAAGCCAGTTCAGGACAGTGGAGTCCAAGATGGGTGGGCTCAAGACAAGCAGGTTTTGGTCAGTGGGCTCAAGACAGGCAGATTTAGTACAGGTGTACTCTGGACAAGTGGGTTTAGATTAGGACAGGTGAACTCAGGACAGGCAGGTTCAGGACAGGTTTGTTCAGGACAGGTGGGCTTACGACAGGTAGGCATAGGACAGGCTAGTTGAGGATGGACGGGCTCAGGACAGGTAAATTTAGGACAGGTCGCCTCAGAACAGGTGTGTTCAGGACAGGCAGGTTCAGGTTCAGGATGGGTAGGCTCAGGACAGGCAAGTCCAGGATGGGTGGACTCAGGAAAAGTGGGCTAAGGATAGGTGGACTCAGGACAGGTGGATTTAAGACAGGTGAGCTCAGGACAAGTAGGTTTAGGTAACAACAGGTGAGCTCAGGACGGGCAGGCTCAGGACAGACGAATCCAGGATGGGTGGGTTCATGACAGGTGTATTCAGGACAGGTGGGCTCAGGACAGGTAGATTTAAGACGGACAGGCTGAGGACAAGCAGGTTTAGGTAAGGACAGGTGATCTCAGGACAGGCAGGTTCAGGACAGGTGTGTTCAGGACAGACAGGTGAGTCCAGGATGAATGGGCTCAGGACAGATGTGTTCAGGACTGGTGGCTCTAATTCTTTGCACTCTCGGGCAACAAGGCTCAGGGCAGACACGCCACTTGTCCAGGACTGTGGTGGTCAAAATTTGGACCCAGTCTCTTGGTTCCAGGAGCTGGGCCCTATGAGCTTGAGGCCCCATGGCCTCTGTGTTACACGTGTGGGGGGGGGGGCTTGCAGGGAGGGCCAGGCAGACCAATGACCCCGATCTGCCCCTTGTAGACCTGACCTTGACACTGCTGGCCATGCGGAGGAGGAGCAGGCGGCCGGACCCTGAGCTGCAGCAGGCACTGCGGGCAAGGCTCCGGCTGCTGGAGAACGACACCCGGGAGGTGGCACATGTGCTCGGGGTGAGTGGGCGCCGTGGCTGGGGGGCTCAGGGGGGTAGGTGCAGGGACAGAGATTGGGGGGAATGGTGCAGAGGACAGGGTCGGGTCTGGACAGGAGGGCAGGATGGTCAGGTATCTTGCCCAGGATGCTCAGGAAGACCATAAGGACACACAGGTCGCCAGCTTCCGAATTCTGTCCCTTGCAACTTTTAAGTCTCTTTTACCGGGAGTAGAAAGGTATGGAGCCGAACTTTTTCTTTGTCTCTTTTTGATGGATCAGAATGCTGTGGGAGGAGGGGGATGGGCCGGAGGTTTTCCATGGGTGGCAGCGTCCTGAGATCAGGGGCTGGCTGGGCAGTTATGATGTCACATTTTGGAGTCAGACTGGCCTGGCCTTGGCCGACGCCCCTTACCCTCTGCAGGCCCAGCGTTGTCCCCCATACACTGGGCATACTTAGAATTACTGCCCTTCAGAGCTGACGTGAGGGTGTGTGAATAGCCCCAGCCTGGCGCCCAGCACATAGCTGATGCTCGACAAACAGCGCTGCCAAGGTTTAGGATGCTGGCGGGACTGGAGTGTCCAGCGTCCTGGGTTCGAATCCCAGCTGCTCCACTTACTGGGAGTCAGAGCATGGCTAAGAAACAGGGCATTGTGTCTTCCCCTGTTAGATGGGATGATAGTAGCACCCCCACTTCGTGAGCTGTCAGCATCGCACTGGTAAAAAACAAAACCTGGTGCAGTTGAGTCACCCCGTCTCATGACAACCCTGTGCGTGTCAGGGTAGGGCTGTGCCCCGTAGGGTTTCCAATGACTGGTTTTTTTGGAAGTAGATCACCAGGCCTTTCTTCCAAGGCACCTCTGGGCAGACTGGCCCCTCCAGCCTTTTGGATAGCAGCCAAGTCCATTGATAGTTTGTGCTGCCCGGGGACCAACGGCCGTTGCTGTTTTCAGGGCGGCCATCACCCCCAGTAGTGTCCTGGAGACACAGAATTGCTGGAGTTGAACCCACGTTGCAGGCGGAGCCAGGAGGCAGGGGTGGGGTTGCTCACGGCTGAGAATGCAGCATCAGCAGGGACTGGAACAATGCCAGGAGAACCTGGTGTCGCTGGAGAGAAGAAATTAGGCAGAAGGGGCATTCGGGGAGGAAGGTGCAGAGGGCTGCGAGGCGAGAGTGTTGAGGCAACATGAGCTCTGGAAAGCAGCATGAGCTTTGCCCACAGGCACTGGGGAGCCATGGCTGGCTTTTGAGCAGGGGAGGAGCAGACTTAGACCGTAAAGGAATCTGCTCTGCACTTCTGCCAGATGTTCCCGGCTGGGTGGCTCCTGGTCTCCTGATGGCCAGATGCCCCCAAACCCCTAGAGATGTTCCTAATTTCTGTTTCTTTTCCTTAAGGAATTATCGGCCAGGCTGTTGTCCATCCACAGTGACCAAGACCAGATTGTGGTGACCTTTAAGACTTTTGAAGAGATCTGGAAGTTCTCCACCTATCACGCTCTTGGTAATGCGCTGGCCGTCCCAGATTCGAGCCACTCTCTCTGGTTATGGGGGCGCCTATGGAGGACACTTGTTACAAATTGGTGCTTTAGAATATAGGTTAGTTGACAAGGCACAAAAAGAATGTGTCGCTTGTTCTGAGGGAGGGATGGTGTGGCCAGTGGAATGCAGTGGACACGGGCTTTGTTGCAAGAACGATTCAGGCTGAACACGCGTGTACGAATTCTTATCGCTACACTGCATCATTTTACTTAACCAGAGCTTGGAGGGACTGAGCTCCGATCACCTGAGTGTGGATCAGGGAATGTGTTATTTCAACCTTGGCCAAAATAATGCTCTCTTTCTAAAAATTCCCTGCTCTGTGGTTGTTAGTTGCTGGCAAGTCGATTCTGGCTCTATTTAGAAGCATTTATAAAACCTAATTGCATCTTTGGGAGTCCCTGGGTGGTGCAAATGTTTAATGCATCCAGTTGCTAACGGAAAGGTTGAAGGTTCAAGTCCACCCAGAGGCACCTCAGAAGAAAGGCCTGGTGATCTACTTCTGAAAAATCAGTCCTTGAAAACCTCTGGAGCAAAGCTCTACTCTGACACATGTGGGGTCACCATGAGTCTGGGGTGACTCAATGGCAACTGGCTTTTAATTGCATCTCCTTGGGGATATTGCTCCATTTCCTTGGCTGGATGACTCAGGCCCTTGGACAATAAAAATTACAGACACCACTTCTTGAGCATCTTGAGAGAGCCTGTGCTAACCTCTATCTTGAACATCATCAAAGAGGAGACTGAGGTTCCTAGTGGAGGTAACTCATCCCAGTCTAACCCTCCCATGGTATTGGTCAGAAGGCATCAGCCTTTCCCGGCTCCGTCGTTAAACATTCCACGCCACATGTCATTTGAATGAATGACCCCTTCATCATTTCCCTTAACCTTACAAACAGAGCAAGTCAATACTTCCTGCTGCTTAGGCTGTAGTTAGCGGGGCTCACTACCCGAAATGGGGTGAAAGGACAGGGCGGCATGGCGAAGCCAAGACGTGGAGGTGCTGGAGACGAGAGATGACAGCCAGAGCCTCCTCTGGGTTTATGTTTGTCATCGTTTCTGCCTTACAGATGAGAACCAGAGCGTCTCAGTCTCCGAGTGCTGCTGTAACAGAAGTGCCACACGTGGACGACTTTAACGGACAGACTTTTATATTCTCAGAGTTTAGGAGGCTAGAAGTCAGAATTCAGGGCGCCGGCTGTAGGGGAAGGCTCTCTCTGTCCGCTCTGGAGGAAAGTCCTGGTCTCAGCTTCTCTAGTGTCCTCTTGGCGTGCCCTGGGGGTCTCCACCAACCATCTGTTTTCCTCTCGCCTTCTTGCTTTCCTCTGCGCCTAACCTGCTCTTCTTATATCTCAGACGTGATTGGCTTAAAACACGCCCTACACAGTAGCCTCAGTAACGTAACAAAGAAAACCCTCTTCCCAAATGGAATTACCAAACCCACTGCTGTCGAGTTGATACCGACTCATAGCGACCCTATAGGACAGAGTAGAGCTGCCCGGTAGGGTTTCCAAGGCTGTAAATCTTTACAGAAGCAGACTGCCACATTTTTCTCCCAAGGAGCAGCTGGGAGGTTCCAACTACCGACCTTTCGGTTAGCAGCTGAGCCCTTTAACCAGTGTGCCACCAGGGCCCCTATTCCATAGGTGTGGGGTTAGGATTTGTAATACATATTTTGGGAGACTCTGTTCAATCTGTAGCACAGAGACAGAGGCTGGGTGACCTGTGGGGTTCCACCTGGTGGCTGGTGGAGCCGAGATTTGAACTAGGGCTGTCTAACTCCACCACACACCAGCCTGACCACTCAGCTAAACGTCCTCGAAGCTAGATATCCAGGGTTGTGGGCAGGGACAGCGTGTCGCCCGGGGTCCCCTGGGGCCTGGTCCCTGCATGGCCCCACCAGCACTGTTGTGGGGGCTGCTCCCTCTCCGTCCAGAGCCCCTTGGTGACGGGTTTGATTCCCCAGGCTTCATACCTCACTGCTTGGAGAACCTGCTGGTGGACCAGGCCTTCTGGCTGCGGGCGCCCGAGGATGAGGAGGAGACAGCCGTGGAGGTCTGCTTGGAGGAGGAGACCCTGAGGCTGATGCATGAGAGCCTGCTCATGCAGGAAGGTGAGCCTCGACAACCGGGCAGCGGGGCAGGGCTGGGATGGGGGCACGGGGCGCCAGAAGCTTCCAGGGCCCTGACTGCCGATGGAGATGAGGTGGAGTCACGTGAGCTGAAGTAGGGGACGGGGCTCAGGCAGGGTTGGGGGGTCTTGGGGCAATGCTGACAGCAATATGCCCAGGCACTGTCACATCCTCGTGAAGACCCTTGTCGGCCCCCAAAGAAAAGGGGGTGCCAGCCTCACAACTGGACTCTTGAGTCTGAACTCAAGGGGACCAAAAGGAGGTTTGTCCTATCGCACCACAGAGAAGAGGGGGACTCCACCCGGCAAGATCACGCTCACGGGGCAGTCAGAACAGAAAAGACACTTGGGACCCCGTGTCTGCCCTTCATAGCACAGACAGGGAAACTGAGGCCCAGAGAGAGAGCCTGAGGCTGAGCTGGGGCTGCATCTGGGTCCCACCTCGGGTCTGAGTACCTTTGGGCCCCCTGGGGGCAGCGGGATTCTGTGAATGTAGAGGGGCAACCTGCAGTGACCACCCTGTTCCTTTGAAGGGTCCTACTTTGTCCTGTGTCCTGACCACGGCGTGAGAGCAGCGACTGGACCCCGGGGTGCAGGGCGGGGCCCCCAGGGAGGCGCAGCGTCAGAAGTGGACTCTCGGACCCCCAGCCCTAGCGCATCTGCTGAGGAGGTGGTGGCAGCGGCCCCGGAACTTTTGACTCCCTTCCATCAGTAGGTACCGACCTTGGTTTCTCACCTCCTGCTGTCCTGGGTGCTGTGAGGCCTCGCGGCGGCTCCCCTGGACCCAGCCCATCCCTTGGGCTGGGGGCAAACAGAACTGTGCCTGGCCTCGGTGGGTCGGTCCACTTTTCTCGGCTTCCAGCTGCCACAGCGAGACAGGGCAGCGACAACCTGCCTGGCAGGCTGTCCTAGGGTGAGATGGCATGGAACCCTCGCCTCCCATTCTGGCTCATTTTGAAAGCTTTTGAGAGAGTGACATGACATGGGTGCCCGTAGTCAGGAGTCATGGGGAAGTCTGTCCAATAGGGAACCAAAGGGCATGCTAGCACAGGCTCCTGCCCCCTTACTGAATGTGGGCGTAAACCTGGCTTGGAGCTTCCTGGCAGCCAAAGTGAAAAAACCATGCTAGAACAGGTAAAATGTAGGCTCCTGCCCACTTACTGACAGTGGTCATAAACCTGGCTTAGAGCTTCCTGGCAGCCAAAGTGAAAAAACCATGCTAGAATAGGTAAAATGTAGGCTCCTGCCCACTTGCTGAATGTGGGCATAAAGTTGACTTGGAGCTTCCTGGCAGGCAAAGGGAAAAGAGAAACCCCATCTCACGACCTAGCAGTGTCCTTGAGACACTGAGCTATGGCTCGGCTTCCCTCGCTGCCGAGACCAGAAAGAACTTTCTCCTGTGAGTCTCCCCACAGCTCCCTGCGTGGTGTGGTCAGCAGTGTCCCCACAGAGGACACTGAGTGCATCCTTTGTGCCTTCCTTCAGCGTAAGCTTCCTAGAACGTTAGACCAAGGAGGGACGGTCGATTATCTTGCCCAGTTTCTTGCTTTCTAGCTGAAGGAACCGAGGCCTCAGAGGAGCCGTCTGCCGAGGCCATGCAGCAAGGGGGCAGCAGGACCAGGTTTTGAATCTGGGCCTCTGGAGCCCTGGCTGGAGGTCCCCCTCCCCCGTTTGCTGAGCTGCTGGAGGTGGCTGAGGGGCAGACGCCTTGGGAGTTCTGCAGGGCTCAGGGCTAAAGGGGAGGGGGCCCCAAGGACTCGAGGCTGAGCAGGGCCAGCAGACATCTGGGCTGGGGGGCTTGAAGGCTACAATTGTGGACAGGTGTGTGCGTTGCGGGGTAGGCGGCAGGTCCCTTGCACACCGGGGTCCTCTCTGGTCATTGAGGGGCTGCTGACTCTTCTAGTCTCGGCAGTTTCAATCTGCCCCAAATCTGAAGTCCCAGCAGTCAAGACCCCCCTTTCCTCTCCAGGTGGGCTTTGAGAGTCCCCTGGGACCCTGTGGAAGACTCTGTGGAGGAGCCTGTGGCACCCGGCCTTGCAATGACAGGTGAGGGGCAGGAGGAGGGCGGCCCGCACAGTGGGGGGTCTGCTTGGGCTCAGCCCTCCCCCAGCAGAAGAGGCAGCTGGAACCCCCAGGCTGCCCGGAGATCCTGAGGCTCAGGTGGGCCCCAATGGACCATCCAAACCACACGGCTTACCGCCACACAGGGCTGGGAGCCCAGGTTGGCCGGCCGCCCAAGGGCCCCGACGGTCCCTCCCCTAAATGCTCAGCAGGCCCTCAACTCTGCTTTCTTTCTGGCTACACGTGACCCTCCTTGGAGGCCACGGCTGCGGCTGAGGTGGGGTCTTGCCCTGCGGGGTCTCCTATTGGAGAAGAGACTCTGCCAGGAGCCCCCAGGCTAATGCGGCATGCTCTGCACCAAGCCAGCCCCTGCCTGACCCGCCTCCGTACCTGTTACCTGGACACGAGGCCCCACGCTGGGACGGGCGGGGTCACAGACCGGCTTGTGTTTGCAGCTGCGCGGGGCCTGGTCTCCGAGCCTCAGTTTCTCATCTTCAGTGAGGGGTACAAATGCCACCCCCTGGGGGGCAGGTGGGCGCCCAGCCTCTCACTTTGTCGTGGCAATGCTTTTCTGCAAACCCCGTGTCAGGGTCCTGGGGCAGCGCAACAAGACACCATGCACCGAGGGGCTGAGAACAACAGACAGACACTCTGTCACAATTCTGGGGGCAGAAGTCCAAAGTCAACATGTCGGAGGGCTGGTTCCTTTGGAGGCTCTGAGGGAGGTTTCTTCCTGCCTCCCTCCCAACTTCCGGTGGATGCCGGAAACCTGGGCTTGTGGCCTTGTCCCTCCAGTCTCCCTCATCTTCCCCATGTGTCTGACTCCTTTCTCTTGTGAGGACACTTGCCACTGGATTAGGGTGCACCCTGTTAATCCAAGATGACCTCACTTAATCACATCTGGGAAGACCCTCTTTCCAAATACGATCACATTCTAAAGTTGCTGATGGACTTAAATTTGGGGGGCCGCTATTCACCCCACTACACCCCAACAGACAAGATATATCCACTGCGTGAGGGAGTGAGAGAGCCCACGGTCACCGCAGGGCCTTGTTCCCTGGCCCTAGGACACGTCCTACCTGCCCTACCCCGTGCTGCCCCCCCAGCACTGACCGCTGCCCTCTTTCCCACAGCAGGGGGCCTGGCCGCGGCCGTGGCAGACTGCGAGGGCTCTGTGCCCGAAGAGATGACCTTCCAAGTGGGCGACCTCATCCAGATCCTCGGGGCGCGTGTGCCCGGCCTGCCCTGGTGCCTTGGCCAGCACGAGTCCTCAGGCCAGGTTGGCTTTGTGCGGATGAGGCACCTGAGCCTGGAGGGCCAGCCTGAGTGAGTTGGACCCCACCCGTTGTCCCACCTGGGGGGCTGTCTCTGAGGCCATCGTCCTGGGAGCCCTCCTGCTCTTCCCTCCCCTCCCCTCCCAGAGTCTCTGGGTTCTTCCTCCTTGTCATCTGCTGACTCCTGTCACATATGGCCTGCCACTCCCGTCCCCTGCCTCCGTCTGGGCCCATGTCCTCCCCCAAACTGCCAGCAGGATTCTTTCTGAATTACGAAGTTGTTCTCGTCCCTCCCAATCCTGGGCTGCCATGACACAGACACCACCAGTGGGGGCTTTAAAGAACAGGAACTTATTTTCTCCCAGGTCAGGAGGCCAGAAGTCTGAATCCAGGGCACCGGCTGGAAGGAACGGCTCTCCGCCAGCCCTGGGGAAGGTCCTCGTCTCAGCTTCTGTGGCCCAGAGTTCTCTCTTCTGCTATCTGTCTTGCCTGTTTGTGCCTGCTTCCCTGTCTAATCTGCTCTTTGTCTCTCGGGGTGACTGGGTTTAAGACACACCCTACCCTGACGTAGCTTTATTAACATAACAAAGAACACTCCTTCCCAAACAGAATTATATCCACAGGCATAGGGTTTAGAATCCTAACACATACTTGGGAGGGACACAATTTAATCCATAAAAAACCAAATACCAAACCCGTTGTCTTTGAGTTGATTCTGATTCATAGCAACCCTTTAGGACAGAGTGGAACTGCCCCGTAGGGTTTCCAAGGCCGTAAATCTTTATGGAAGCAGACTCCCACATTTTTCGCCCTCAAAGCAGCTGGTGGGTTCGAACTACCGACCTTCAATTAGCAGCCGAGGGCTTTAACCACTGCACCACCCCCTCCATAAAGTCCTTAGAACATTTTGGGCTGGACTTTGAGGCCCCCCAAGACCCATCCCCCTTGGTGACCCTAATCTCAGAGGCCACCACTCACTGACCCCAGCTGTGACCTGTGACCCCTGACCCCACCTGCCTGGGGTGCCGACCCCACTCCCCACCTTCTGTTTTGCTTGGGGGGGGCTCTCAACTGCCCCCCAAGTCCCATCCGAAATGGTCTATTCCTGGGGGCGCTGTTCCTGACCATGCTTCCCCCAGTCCTGCTGATGACCTTCCTGTCCCCCACCCCAGCTGGGGAACTCCAAGGGGAAGGATTGTCTGGTCACCTGCGTGTCCCCAGTGCCTGGCCCAGACAAAGTAGGACATTCCTTGGAGAGTGTCCCCAAGCACACCTGGGTCCATCCTAGGGAGGAGCTGTCTACCTGGCCTTGACCTGTCACTGCGGAGCCTCGGGTGGGAGCCGGGGCCATGGGTGTGTAGGGACAGCCCTCCCTGGGTGGGGGCTCTGGTCACCTGTCCCTTCTGACCCTGCTTCTCTGTTCCCTTCTGCATCTGAGACAGGCCAGCACCTCCGAGACCAAACCTTAGAGGTGGGCCATTTGGAACCCGCCCCGCCAGTCCTTTCGTTCCCCCTCAATTCACAGTATGTGTGTGTGCGCTCCGGGACCTCTTGCACCTGTTTCCCCAGAAGCAGTCAATGGTGCTGGGCCTGGACACCAACAGCTGCAGCTAGACCAGTGTTTCCAAAGTGTGTTCCTTCCAACCACTCCACCAGACCCCCATAATGGTCAGACGCTTGTGGGGCATGCTCTGTCCACCCTCCTTGGTGATTCATAGGGAGTCCCACACAAGGAAGGCTCCCAGAAGGCTGAACTTTTCTCTCTTTCCCTTTGAAACATGTTTCCCACACTTACTTGACCTCTAGAACCCTGTCTCATACAACCCTAATAGCTTTGTGCTGAGCTGGGGTTCCATGCAATGCTTTTTAGGGACCCTCGGTCTAAACAATTCCCAACATCTCCAAGGAGCATCACAACTTTTTGACAAGTTGGTGGAGGTCTGTGTGACTTGAACAGCCCTGAAATGGCCAAATTCAGAGCTGGAAGACCCCGTGGAGATGAGTTGGTCCATTCCCCTCCCTTAACTCGGAAGTACAACAGGGCCTGGTGCCACTGGCCCTGTTTACAGCTGAACACCCCTAAGTGCATTTCTTAGTCATTCAACAAACATTTATTGAACGTCTTTCCTATTTCAGACCCTGGGTTTTCATCTTTCTGTTCAGCGAACAACCTAGTGGCTTTTCTTTTCTTTTCTTTTTTCCCCCCTTTTAACTTTATTTTGATGTAGTTTCAGACTTACAGAAAGGTTACAAGAATAGCACAGAATTCTCACATACCCTTCACTCAGATTCCTCATATGTTAACATTTTACCACATTTGCTTTATCCTTTTCTCTCTTTTACTTCTATTTATTTTAAGCCCCTTGAGAGTAAGTTGCAAACATAGGGCCTCTTTACCCCTCAAATAATACATTTCCTAAAGAAAAAAAAAAGATGTCCTCTTACCTAGCCACAGGGCAACGGTCAAAATCAGAAAGTTAACAGAGACATAACACTATCGTCTAATCTAGAGTCCCTGAGTGGCACAAATGGTTAAGCACTCAGTTCCTAACGGAAAGGTTGGAGGTTCAAATTCTCCCAGAGGCACCTCGGCAGAAAGGCCTGGCGATCCACTTCAGAAAGATCACAGTCTTGAAAGCCCTGTGCAGCAGTTCTCCTCTGCACACACGAGTCAGAGCTGACTGAATGGCAATTGGTTTTTTTGTCTTGTTTTTGGATTATCTTACTCAGATTTTGACAGTTGTCCTCTCACTGTCATTTATGGACAAAGAGAATCCCAGCTCACGTGTCACATTCTCTTGTTGTCTCTCTCTCGTTTCCTTTAACCCAGAACATTCCTCAGCCTTTCTTGGTCTCTCATGATACTGGCACTTGTAAACAACGCAGGGTTATTTTGTAGAATGTCCTGTAAACTGCTCTTTAACCTCTCAAAATGACTCACTCTAAGTTCCAAAGTGCATTTCATGGTTTCATAACACACGTTAACTCAGTCCTAGAAGCAAAAGTCACCTCTTGTTCCTTCCTGTCTTTCCTCTCCTTTCTTCCTTCCCCTGCCCCCCGCCCTGACTTTATAGAGGACTCTGAGGGCCCTGTGTTTGTGTTGGGCTGTGGGAAGCACCAGCAGAGCTCATATGAGGAACTGTGAGGGCTCAACATGTAGAGGGATCAGTTCCCCCCGACAGTTGTCACAGCAGGCCTCACAGGGGAGGGGGCATTTGAGGTGGGGCTTTGAAGGCTGTGTAGGAGTTCACCAACCCAGGAAGTCATGACTCACTGCTTCTTTCCCAGCCTTTCCTGCTCCTTAGCATCTGCTCTGGCCATACGAGGCAGTGCTTGAGGGCAGGCTCTGTTTTTGTCTTTATGTTGCTGTCTTTACTGCTGGGCTCAGAGTAGGAGTGTGTGGGTTCTCTGTCAAATGGAGGACAGAAATGGTTCTATTGTGAAATTTCTGCTTTGGAAATAGGTTATTTTAAATGAAACACTTTGTTTTCTCTAGGCTGGAAAATGTGATCTTTCTCAATGAAGAAGAAAGGGCTTTCTTCAGCAACGAAGGGCACTTTTCGGAGGAGGACGCCAAGCAGTTACTGAGAAGGACATCGGAGCCAGACGTCTGCACCACGTACAGCTTGGGTAGGTGTGGGGGATCCCGTGCAAGGGGGGCCGCAGCCGATCATTTAGGGTCATTTTCTTGGGGCAGATTCCTAGAAAGACAATGGACTGAAGGGTGTGAAGCTGAACTGTTTTCCAAAAGGACTTAATCCACTGTCATTCTGCTAAGCGCTACAGGATGTCCTGTCTCATCGCTCCTCACCCCCTGGGTTGTTGTTTTTGGTTGGTTGGTTGTTTTATTGTGGTGAAAACATACACAAAACATACGTCAATTCAACAATTTCTATACATACAATTCAGTGACGTTGATGACATTTCTTCAAGTTGTACAGCCATGCTCCCTATCCTTTTCCAAATCATTCCACCACCGTCAACTTAATAATACCGCCTAAGCAAAAGCTCTTCCTTTACCCCTCCCTCTCGTAACCACGAATAATTTTTGGTTTCTGTATATTTTCTTATTTCATGTAAGTGGGATCATGTTCTTTTGTAACTCACTGACTTTGTTCAGCACGATGTTTTCAGGATCCATCCGTGCTGTGGCGTGCATCGGGACTTCGTTTCTCTTTATGGCTGCGTAGTATTCCATTGTCTGGATGGACCACACTGAGTGTGTCCATTGCTCTGCTGACGGACATTTCAGCTGTTGCCACCTTTGGGCTGTTGTGAACAGTGCTGCAGTGAACACTGGTGTACAGGTTTCTGTTTGCATTGCTGCTTTCACTTCTAGTTATCTACCTAGGGTTGGGGTTGGTGGGTCGTGTATGTTTGGGTTTTTAAGGAACGGCCACACTGTTTTCCGTAGGAGCCGCACCGTTTTACGTTCCCACCAGCAGTGAGTGAGGGCTCCACTCCTGGGTTTTTATCACGTTTATTGTCTAGTCATAAAAATGTCAACCATTTCTGGCTTCAGGCCACTTTTCTCAGCAGCCCTTTCTTTTCCCTTTGGGGACGTTTTTCGTCCTTCCTCCGTGGACAGCTAGTGAATCCGAGCCCAGGCACTCAACAGGTGCGCAGACTGATGCTGACGTCACCTCAAGGGCGCCTAGAGGTGGCAGGCAATCAGGGCGCAGACTCGGGATTGTGGTCAGAGCTGAGCAAACAGCGCAGCAGCCCTGAGCGCCCTGCTGCCTGAGGGCCAGCGTCGGGGGCCTTTTCTTGATGGCTGGACGCCCCAGCGAAGACGCCCTGGCACCCCTGAAGCCCTGTTAGGCGGGGGTGAGCAGGCAGCCTGATTCCACCTTGACCAGCAGCTTGGCCCTGCTCCGGCAGCCTCTGCTACACGCAGGTGCAAGAGTGAGATCAGGAAACTGGGGCGCGTGGCGCAGCGTGGGGCCTGGCTGCGGGGTGGGGCTCGGCTGAGCTCCAGGCTGACTCGTAAAGCCAGAGCTGTTTCCCTTTTGCCTCAACACCCCTCTCTCTGTGAGAGGGTTTGTCTGAAGGCCGCAAAGTGCAGATGAAGGAGCTGTGTAGATGTCACAACAGCCAACAAAGGAAAGAAACTCTGCAGAGGGTGTGTGCTTGTGCATGGTAACTGCCGTCAATGCGCGAGCTGTAGCTGCAGCTCTTCCCTTCGCCCTGATGTGCACACTCGCACACCCACACGTGCACATGCGCCACACACCCCTGCACATAAGACCCACATACACACCAATGCGCGCACAGATGTAATACACATGCGGGACATGTGCTACACGCACACACACGCACACATGTAACACGTATGCACACCCACACATGTACACACTTGGCACACGCGCGCACCCACACATGTGCACATGCAGCATACGCACACCCACACATGTACACATGCGGCCCACATGTGCATCCACACATGTGCCATGCACACTCACACATGTACACATGTGGCACACACACCCTCACACATGTACACACATGGCACACATGCACGCACACATGTAATACACATGCACATGTGGGACACATGTGTCTCACACTCACACAGGTACACATGTGATACAGATGCACACCCCCACATGTACACATGCGGCACCCATGCCTACTGTCTTGGTCATCTAGTGCTGCTGTAACAGAAGTGCCACAAGGGGATGGCTTCAACAAAGAGAAATGTACTCTCTCACAGCCCAGTAGGCTGTAAGTCCAAACTCAGGGCATCAGCCCCAGTAGTCTTTCTGTCTTTGTCAACTCTGGAGGAAGGTCCTTGTCATCAGTCTTCCCTTGGTCTGGGAGCATCTCACCACAGGAACCTCAGGTCCAAAGGACACACTCTTCTCCTGGCACTGCTTTCTTGGTGGTGTGAGGTCCCCATGTCTCTCTGCTTGTTTCTCTCTTTTATATCTCAAAAGAGACTGTCTTAAGACACGATCTAATCTTGTAGACCTCATCAGTATAACTGCTGCTAATCCATCTTATTACATCACGGCGATAGGATTTACAACACATAGGGAAATCACCTCAGATGACAAAATGGCGGACAATCATACAATACTGGGAATCATGACCTAGCCAAGTTGACAGATATTTTGGGGGGACACAATTCAATCCATGACACACACCAATGCACGCACACATGTAATACACATGCATACATGTGACACACATGTACACATGCGACACACCACCCCCTATGTACACACGCAGTGCACACACACACTCACCACATATGTGCACATGTAATACACACCCACACATGTGCAGTGCAACACATGCGTGTTCATCGACACTGCGCATGCAATACACGTATGTAGACACTGCATCTATACATGCATGCACACACATACATAGAGACATGCATTCACATGCATATATACACACAGAAATACACACCCACACATGTACATACATGCATATACACCCACACGTACACACATATAGGTGCCCATACACACGTATACATATATACACGCACACACAAGCATGAACGCATGCATTTGGTCTGCTACTTGTTGACATGCATCCCAATACTTTTTCTCCACCAGTATTAGCTTTAAACTTCTGAGACCCCCCCAGCCCTATTTCTCCTCCTAAATGGCTGCGTAAATTTGATGGTAGCACATCACGGTCTGCGCCAGCCTGGCCTCCCGGGTCCTGTCTCTCAGGGAGCTGAGCTGGGGCCCCCTGTTCAGCTGGCTGCTGTGTAGGGACAACTTGACCCGTGTGGCCCCCGTGTGGCCCCGTGTGGCCCCCGAGTGGCCCCGTGTGGCCCCTGTGTGGCCCCTGTGTGGCCCCGTGTGGCCCCTGTCCCAGGTCACGCCTGCGCAGCACCCGACAGGTCTTCCACAGTGATTTTTCTCGTTTGACGTCTAGGGCAGCCGAGGAGCAGTTAGTGTCAGCCCATTTTAAAGGGGTGGAAACAGGCCTGGAGAAACGCCTGCTGTGGGAGTGAGGAGGGCAGTAGCACATGGCGGAGCAGGCGGGGTCGGGCCAAGGCCACTGCTCCGTGCTGGCCCGCTCTCTGGCAGAGCCAGATGGGGCCAAGTGACCGTCCTCTGAGGGGTGTGTGCCCTGTTCCACAGGGCCTCTTGTGGGAAGACAGTCCTGCACGGAGCAGGGATGACTGTTATGCTGTATTCCAGCCTGGAGACCCCAGACAATGTGGTCCTGGCCGCCTCGTTCCCCACCCACCCCTCATTGCCCAGACCCAGGGCCACTGGCCAGGGTACTGACTGCTCCTCTACTTTCTTCCCTCTCCAGACAGGCTCGAAGAAGCCAAGTTTGAGCAGCCAGAAGAACACGGTAGGTGCTGCCCACCTGATGGGGCCCCTCCTGTCAAGGGCTGGGTGCGGGTACTGGGCATGGACGTCCCTGCTCCGGGGGTGGCTGGTGGGGAGGGGAGTCTCGCTCTGGCAGGGAGGTGGGATTAGAGGGTGTGAAGTCCCTCACCACTGCAGCAGTGGGGGCCTCGGGGACCCTCTTCCAACACACATGCCAGCCCCCTGCGCCATCCCCACTCAGGTCGGGGGGCGTTCTCTCCTCTGCCGAGCCCAGGCTGACAGAGAGTTCCTTTCACGTGATCTACCAGTCAGCAACAGGTCGACTCCAACATGGCACCCCTGGGCATGTCTGAGTGGAACTGTGCTCCAGCAGGTTTTCAATGGCTGATATTTTGGAAGTAGATCTCCAGGCCCTTCTTCCGAGGCACCTCTGGGTGGACTTGAATCTCTCACCTTTTAGTCAGCATCCGAGAGTGTTAACATGGCCTAGAGCAGCTAGATGTCACCCCCTGCTCTGCCTCAGAGAGGCAAGGCCATACCCCCCTGTAGGGGCAGAGGGATTTGGAGCATTCACAGAGCAGAAGCCCCTTGCTCCACTCAAGAGGGGCAGTTCAGGGAGACCGTCTCCATTCCCCTCCTCGCCACACCTCTGCCTCGTCCCCCCACACTTCCACAGTTGGTTGGCATGGGGGGCTTCTGGGGGAGGCGAACGCCCCAAGGTCCTTTGAAATGCCCTGGACCCAGATCCACCAGGGCACAAATGCAGAAAGGCCACTGGGGACATCGGTGCAGAGGTCCCCGAAAGTCTGTAGGAACTGTCCATTTTCCCATGATGGAGCCGAGCAGAAGGACAAAGGCACCATTTTGCACTGCTGTGGGGGGCTTCAACGGTTCTGCGTGGCAGCTTCCAAGCTCATGCTAATAAAAGCTCCGCTCGGGTGTTGGTGACTCACGGGGGCCCCTGGAACCTGACTGCAGAGCCCAACAAACCCGTAGTCGTTGAGTCGGTTCCCACTCATAGCAACCCTGGAGGGTTTCCAAGGCAGTAATCTTTACGGAAGCAGGCTGCCACATCTTTCTCCCGAGGAGCAGCTGGTGAGTTCGAGCCACTGACCTTTCGCTTAGCAGCTGAGCTCTTAACCGCTGCACCACCAGGGCTCCCTACCGAGTCCAATACTGCTAACAAAATCAGTCCTAGGCTGTTGTAGCTCTGAATGTGGCTATGTCCCATTAGGAGGTTTAGATTTTTTTTATTATTGTGGCAAAGAGATATGTAACAAAATATTGGTCATTGCAGAATTTTTCACACGTACAATTCAGCGACATTAATCACGTCCTCCTCGCTGTTCAGCCATCACACTCCCCATTTCTGATTTTTCCCATCACCCCTAACAGAAGCTCTGTGACCCTTAAGCAAAGACTCCCCCTTTCCCCTTCCTCCCACCCAGCCTTGGAAACCACTAACGAACTTGGGTGTCTATACACTTGCCAGTTGTAGGTATCTCATGTAAGTGGGGTCATACAGTATTTATAGAAGGCTTTGCTCCTCTTAAGGTCCCTGGGTGGTGCAAATGGTTAACACCCTCGGCTGCTAACCAAAAGGTTGGCAGTTCAAAACCACTCAGAAGCACCCCAGAAGAAAAGCCTGTAGATCTGCTTCCATAAAATCAGCCATTGGAAACCCTGTGGAGCACTGTTCTCTGACACACGTGGGGTCACTATGAGTCAGGTCCATTAAATGGCAACAGGTTGATTCTTTTCAAAGGGAAATGAATTTCTGATGGATCATTCAACTATGACACGTGAAATCCTCTATAACTGCTCTCAAAAGGGCAAAGAAAAAGAGAAGGAGCGCCCCTCGGTAGAAGGTTGGGCACCCTCATCTTTATTCTCCCGTGATCACAGTTATAGAATTCTCATATGTGCCAGCACTGCCTGGCAGTCTACGTAAATCTCAAACGCTCACGGTAGCCCGTTGGGGTGATGTAATAGAAAACGGCACAACGGGGGCCCTGAGCCTGGATGAGGAGCAGTCCCTGCCCCGTCACACAGCTAGACCCCGACTCCGATCCACCTAGTGTGTTGTGTCTTACAGAAATGCCTCCACTTTGCCTGAACCCGGAGCCGAGCGAGACCTTAGAGAAGGTGAAGAATGTTCTCGAACAGTGCAAGTCTCGCCAGGCCTGCCCCGAGGAGCCTGTGTCCTGGGGTCTGCACCCAGTGGCTAGTCGGGTGAGCTCGTTGGACACCAAGGAGGAGCCCAGCTTCCGCCTGGATGTAGAGGCCGACTGGACGGACGACGCGGAGGCCCTGGGCTCGATGCTGCTGTCACTGAATGCCCCCGGGTACGAGGCCCGCTTCCGTGGCCTGTACACCCTCTCACTGCCGGGTCTGGGCAGCCTCGCTGACGAGGAGCAGCTGGCCGGGCGCCTGGCACAGGCCCGGGGGACAGCCAAGAGGGCTGGCCTACCCATGGCCCTGGCCAGGCTCTGCCTCCTGCTGGGCCAGCTCTGCGTCAGGAAGCTCAAGCTCTCCCAGGCCCGGGTGTACTTCGAGGAGGCCCTGGGGGCCCTGGGTGGCCACTTCGGTGACCTCCCCCTGGTGGTGGCCGTGTACACCCGCCTGGCTGCCATCTACCTGAAGCAGAAGAACCGGGAGAAGTGTGCAATGACTGTGGATAAGGCGTTGGCCCTGCTCCTGGGGACACCCAGCCATGTTGGCAGCACAGAGGCCGAGCTGCTCCGGCTGGCTCTGCAGCGGGCTGTGCGGGTCCAGAGTGCAGGCGCTGAGGCCCGGGCCTGCTTCCTGCTGGCCCAGCACCACACCCGCTTCAAGCAGCTCGAGGAGGCCTTGCCTTTCCTGGAGAGGCTGCTGCTCCTTCAGGGTCGCCTGGGGCCCCTGGCCACCGCCTGGCCCACCGACGGCTACCTGCTGCTGGCCGACATCTATGGCCGAAAGTGCCTGCCCCACCTGGCCCTGAGCTGCGTGCGGGTGGCCTCGCTGCGTGCCCGGGGCTCCCTGGCCAGCGCACTTCGGAGCATGGACCTGGTCCTGTGCCACGCTCCCCGCCTCCACGGCCTGAGGCAGGCAGCCCCCAGCCTCCCCGCCCAGCTCACCCCCTACCTCTGGCAGGCACTGACCTCCCCGGCCGCGAGGACAGAGCAGACACTGCGTGCTGCACTTTATGCCAGTCTGGCCCAGGTGCACAGCCACCATGGCCAGTACAGCCGAGCCATCAGCCTCATGATACGCGCTGTGGATGCCGGAGCCATGGCCAGCGCCCGCTCCGTCGTGGACCGCCTGGTGGCCCTGGCCTGGCTGCATATCCTCCATGGGCAAAGCACAGTGGCCCTGCACATCCTGGAATCCATCGGGGATGCAGCTGTGGCCAGCGAGGACCAGGAGGGCGTGGTGGCCAACATCATGGCTGTGGCCTTGAGGAGGACGGGCAGGACCCGGCGGGCAGCCGAGGGCTACTATCGGGCCCTTCGCGTGGCCAGGCGGCGGGGCCGGCAGCACGACCAGGCCGTGGTGCTGGCCAACTTCGGGGTGCTGTGCCTGCACGCGGGCGCCGAGCGGCTGGCTGAGCACTACCTGGTGGAGGCCACGAAGCTCTTCGCGCGGCTGCCCAGCGCGGAGTGCGGCTGTGACTTCACACAGGTGCTCCTGCGGCTGGGCCACCTGTACGCCGGCAGGGCCCTGGCTGAGCAGACCAGGTCTTGCTATGAGTGGGCCTTCCTGGTTGCCGTGGAGACGGGCCACTTCAAGAGTAAGTGCTGTGCCCGTCCCGGTCCCGACTGTCTGCACCCCCACCTCCCCGAGTCCGCGCCGGGCACCCTGCTTTCCAGACAGAAACAAAGCTTTCTTCCCATCTCTGCCCCGAGCACGCCTGGGGTCTGTGGTTCAGGCGCCAGGGGTGGTTTTCCCACCATCAAGTTGCTGAGTCGTGGAAACAGGCAGGTGATTTATTTTTAAGTAGGCTTCGTTTTTTAGAGCAGTTTTAAGTTTACCAAAAAGTCCTGCAGAAAATACAGAGTCCCCATGTGTTCCCTCTCCCCCTGCAGCAAAGAAAGAAACAATAACAAAAAACGGGTTGCCATTGAGTTGGTTCCAACTCATGGATACAGCTATGCTCCATTGGCTGATTTTTGGCAGTAGATTGCCAGGTCTTTCTTTCAAGTTGCCTCTGGGTGGATTTGGACCTCCGACCTTTTGGTTAGCAGTGAGTGCGATACCCATTTGCACCAACCAAGGATTGTCTTACATACTTTGGCCATCTTATCAGGAGGGACCAGTCCCTGGAGAAGGACATCACGCTTGGTAAGGTAAAGGGTCAGCGAAAAAGAGGAAGACCCTCAATGAGATGGACTGACGCAGTGGTTGCAACAATGGGCTTAAATATAGCAATGTGAGGATGGCGCAGGACCAGGCAGTGTTTTGTTCTGTTGTATGCAGGGTCGCTGTGAGTCGGAACCGACTCGATGGCCCCTAACAAGAACTACAGCAATAGGGACTCTCTGCCCTTTGTAAACCAAAAAAACCCAAACCTGTTGCCATCGAGTCAATTCCCACTCATAGTGACCCTATAGGGCAGAGTAGAACTGCCCCACAGGGTTTCTAAGGAGCAGCTGGTGGATTCAAACTGCAGAACTTTTTGGTTAGCAGCCATAGCTCTCAACCACTGAACCACCAGGGCTCCACCCTTTGTATAGTTCCCTCTATTATTAGCATCTAGCATGCCTGTGATACATGTGTTACCAATGAAGAGCTGATACTGATACATTGTTATTATCTAGGATCACAGTTCATGTCTGGGCTCACTCTCTGTGTTGCACAGACCTGTGGGCTTTGACAAATGCATCATGTCACATGTCCACCATGACACCATCACACAGAACAGTTTCCCTGCCCTAAAAATGCCATGTGCTCCCCTGCTCAACCCTCCCCTTCCCCCTGGACCCCTGACCTTGTCGCTGTCTGTAGTTCGCCTTTTCCAGAACGTCATAGAGTTGGAATATACAGTAGGTAGCCTTTGCAGACTGGCTTCTCTCACTTGGCGACATGCATGTAAGGTTCCTCGTCTTTCTGTGACTTCTAGCTCATCTCATTACCGCTGATTGATACTCCATTGTATGGATGGACCGTGTTTGCTCACCGGCCTGTGTTTTCATTTGCCTTGGAGGGTGTTCTGATGCAGGTCACACATAACTAGGGTGACTAACTCATCCCAGTTTTGGGCCCCACAAGTCCCGTGTCCTGAGCAAACCAGGACAGTTGGTCAACCCGGAGGTGACCCCGCAGGGCAGGGCCCCTCCCATGAGCAGCTTTGAAGCGGGGATTGAACCCCTGTCATCTTCTAGGAACCGCCCGGCAGCCCTACCTACCAGACACCCCACATCGCAGAGGGGTGAGGGCTGGTGGTCTCCCTGGCTGTGGAGCAAATGAACTTCATTCAAAAGTGTTTTGTTGAGTGCATGCCAGGCCAGGCTCTGAGTCGGCTCCACCCACAATCAGGGCTTCTCATGGCCCTGCCACTGAGCTGGCAGTGAGCATGGGAATCAAGCGACCAGGTCACAAAGCCACAAAAGGGCATGTCCAGCGGAGTGACTTGTGGTCAGGGAAGTCTGCTTAGTCTGTGTAGGGCCTGAGGGGCTTGTCAGAAGGGGAGGCCCAGGCAGGAGCTGCCCAGCAGAGGCCAGGGGGCGTGAGCAGGGGAGGCAGGGAGGGTCAGAGTTTGGAAGGAGTAGATGTGGAGAGCTGTGCAGGGCCATGGACCGGGTGTGGTTGACCTTTTCCCCAAAGCACTGGGGAGCCATGGAAGGTTGTAGAGCCTCACCGAGGCTGTGTGGTAGATGGATCCCAGCCAAAAGAGACAGCAGGCAGGAATCCAACTATCCAGGAGGAGGGAGCTGATGGAGGAAGTGGCTGAGGGGATGAGGACACGGCCAGGACTCGGGATATCACCCCTCTGCCTATAACACCTTGTCCATCCTCCAGCACAGCCCTCATCACATTGAAGCCCTCCTGTCACCCCTCTTAGACCCCCTAAGGGCAGGGGCTGGGGCCAATTCAGCACTCATTTGTGGTCCTTGAAGGGAATGACCACTAGAAGGGACCTGAGGATGGGGGAAGGGCCGAAATTCAGTACCTCTTCCGGGCACATGGGGCCTGGGCAGAGGGCCAGCCTGGGCTGGAAGGGACCCCTGGGACCTTCTGGAGGAGCAAGTGCTGATGCGGGATCTCTCCTGAGGCTCAGGCAGGGCCTGGCTGGCCCCCCATGGACCTCTCAGAAACTTTTTCCTAAAAGGACCGTCACAGGTGGTTGAGGATCCAGGCTTGGAAGATCCACGGAGGGAGGGGGGGCCCGGGGGTCATGTTGCTCGTTTCCCACCCCCACACACATGTTGAACAGCTGAGTAGGCTAAGGCCTAGGGGCTTGCTCCTCGGGGTCGTTTTTTTAGTCCATTTTGGTAGTTTCTGCCTTTCTAGGCATTTGTCCATTTCATCCAGCTTCTCTAGTTTTCTGGCCTACAGTCATTCCTGTTGTTGTCAGTAGCCATTGAGTTGATTCCAACTCACGGCAACCCCATGTGTGCAGAGTAGAACTGCCACATAGGGTTTTCCCGGCTGTAATCTTAATGGAAGAAGATCACCAGGTCATTCTTCTGAGATACCATTAGGTGGGTTCAAACTGTCAGCCTTTAGGTTAGTAAAGGAGTGGAAACCGTTCATACCACCCAGGGACGTTCCATTGTTCATAGCATTCCCTCATAATCCTTTTTATTTCTGTAAGATCAGTAGTAATGTCTCCTTATTCATACTTGATTTTAGTAATTTGAGCCTTCTCTCTTTTTTTCTTGGTCGGTCTAGTAAAGCTTTGTCAATTTTGTTCATCTTTTCAAAGAACCAGTTTTTTGTTTTGTTGATTTTTCCCTCTAGCTTTTCTATTCTCTGTCATTTATTTCCATTCTAACCCCTATTATTTCCTTCTTTCTCCTTGGATTTAGTTTACTTTGCTCATCCTTTTCTAGTTTCTTAAAGTGGAAAGTTAGTTACTGATTTGAGATCTTTCTTCTTTCTTAATGTAAGTGCGTAAGGCTATAAATTTCCCTCTAAGCACTGCTTTAGCTGCACCCCAGCTAACACTGGTTATGCTGTGTTTTCATTTTCATTCATCTCAAAGTTTTTTCTAATGCCTCTTGTGATTTCTTCTTTGACCCATTGGTTATTTAGGAATGTGTAGCTTAATTTCCACATATTTTTGAGTTTTCCCTTTCCCTTCTGTTATTGCTCTCTAATTTCAATCCATTGTGGTCAGAGAACATCGTTTGTCTGACTTCAATCCTTTTAAATGTATTGATGTTTGTTTTATGGCCTAGCATATGGTCCATTGTGGAGAATGTTCTGTGTGCACTTGGGAAGAACGTGTGTTCTGCTGTTGTTGGGCGGGGTGTTCTTAGATTTCTGTTAGGTCATGTTGGCTTACGTTGTTGTTGTTGTTAGGTGCTGTCAAGTTATTTCTGACCCGTAGTGACACTCCGTACAGTAGAACGAAATGCTGCCCACTCCTGCACCATCCTCACAATCATTGCTATGTTTGAGCCCATTGTTGTAGCCACTGTGTCAATCCATCTTGTTGAGGGTTTTCCTCTTTTTCTCTGACCCTCTACTTTGTCAAGCGTGATGTCTTTCTTCAGGGATTGGTTCCTTCTGATAACATGTCCACAGGATGTGAGATGAAGTCTTGCCATCCTTGTTTCTAAGGAGCTTTCTGGCTATACTTCTTCCAAGGCAGGCTTGTTTGTTCTTTTGACAGTCCATGGTATATTCAATATTCTTTGCCAACACCGTAATACAAAGGCATCAACTCTTCTTCAGTCTTCCTTATTCATTGTCTAGCTTTCACACGTATGTGAGGCGATTGAAAATACCCTGGCTTGGGTCGGGCTCACTTTTGTCCTCAAAGTGACATCTTTGCACATATGTTGGGGGGACGCAATTCCCTCCATAAGAGGGGTGTTGATGCTCCTTGCTGGTCATCTCTGTGGGAAGGTCAGATCCCATCTGGCTGGGAGGAGTGTTGTGAAGCAGAACAGGGGGCCTGGAGGGGTGGTTGATGCCACATCTGGAACCCATCACTGTGTGACCTGAGCAGGGCACTTGGCCTCTCTGGGCTCCATTTCTCCATCTGCCATGACCTCAGTCATAGAGGAGTGGAAGACACAGGCATACAGCAGGTGCACAATTAAAGCCTTTGAACCTTGCAGTCATCCTTTGGGCTAACTTCTTCCCTCTGCCCCCTGCCCTGCCCAGGCCAGCTGTGTGCCGTCCAGAGACTATGTCACTTCTACAGCTCCGTGCTGCCCAACGAGGCCCAGTGCGTCATCTACCATGAGTTCCAGCTCTCGCTGGCCCGCAGGATGGCCGACAAGGCACTGGAGGGGCAGCTCTTGGACACCATTAGCCAGCTGTACCTGTCGCTGGGCACTGAGCGGTGAGGGCTGGCTCCATGATGGGGTGGGGCAGCAGGGCGGGGCGCTGGGGCAGGTGGCACAGGCAAGCCCTTTCCTCGGGGACATTCTGACCCCATGGCATCCAGTGCATTCTGGGCTGGCAGGCCTGGGGCCCCCCAGAGGGTGGCATGTCCTTCAGGCAGGCTGTACGTTCCTAGGCACTCCTTCTGGCCATGTGACCTTTGGGAGCTGACCTTTGCCCGCCCCGAATAGTCCCCCTCAGCCCAGCTCCATTCCCAGGGCTGTGTGTCCATGTCTGTGCCCCCATCATGGAGACAGAGGCCTGTGGACCATAGGAGACCAAGCTCTGTTTTGCCTGCATCCCTGGATAGGGTCTCGGGTCCCATGATACACGCGTGGCCCACCCGGGACCTCCAGACCCAGGCCTGGCATGGCAGTAAGAGGGCATGGTGGGGCCAGGTTTCCATGAGGACCAGGAGATGGATCCAGTCTTGTCTGCCCCCCACCCAAGCCTGCTTTACAGCAAGAACAATGAGCTTGCACTAGAGGGGGGAGTCCTCAAAGTGGGGTCCCCAGGTCAGCAGCCACATCTCCTGGGAGCCTGAGAAATACACATTCTTGGCCCCGCCCTAGACCTGCCTGATCAGAACCTGGGGATGGGGGCAGCCAGGCATGGTTTCAGAGCCCCTGGTGATTCTATGGCGCTCAGGTTTGGGAGCCCCTGGCTGAGCCCTCTCTGAGCATCTGAACTGCTGATATGTCCTTTGCCTCTGAGGACTGTGGGTGCCAGTATTTGGGTGGGAGGTGCGGACAGATAGTAAAGGCCTCCTGGTCAGTGGCCCAATTGGCCCATGACCCCCACCCCCACCCCCACTTACATCCCGGGAAGGGCAGGACGCTGCCCAAAGGGAGGACCTGCTCCCGGCACACCCGGTAGATGATCCACATATGCTGCAGAAGAGCCCAGACTGGTCCCCATGGACAACCCAGGCTCGCTGGTTCTGACCTTCCGCGTCTGGTTGCAGTGCCTACAAGTCCGCCCTGGACTACACGAAGCGGAGCCTGGGCATCTTCATCGACCTCCGGAAGAAGGAGAAGGAGGCACACGCCTGGCTGCAGGCCGGCAAAATCTACTACATCCTGCAGCAGCACGAGCTGGTGGACCTGTACATCCAGGTGCGGAGGCAGGGCGAGGGGGCCAGGTGTGCGCGTGGGATAGAGGAGAGCAGGGCGGGATGGTGCTGGTATGCGCGAGGCCGAGTGTGTGCACTCACTCATTCACTGTTCACTCATTCACTCACTCACTTGTTTACTCACTCACTCGTTCACTCATTCATTTATTCACTCACCCATTCACTCACTCACTCGTTCACTCATTCATTTATTCACTCACCCATTCACTCACTCACTCGTTCACTCATTCATTCACTCACCCATTCACTCACTCACTTGTTCACTCATTCACTTGTTCACTCTTTTATTCACTCACCCACTCACTCACTCATTTATTCATTCACTCACTCATCTATTTACTCGTTCACTCTTTCACTCATTCACTCGCTCGTTCACTCACTCAGTCACTCATTTACTCATTCACTCACTTATTCATGCACTAATTCACTTACTTATCCATTCACTTGTTCACTCACTCATTCACCCACTCAG